CTTTCACTCTGAAAAGGAAAATAAGGGGATGTTTTGTCAAATTCTTGCCAGGGGGTGTAGGAGATGGCAATACTACAGCTCCTTCCTTTAAGCAGTAGTAGGAGTATACTAGGTTTGTTAAAGCACTGGGTTTTTAACAACCAGTTCTCAGTTGTAAAATGACTACCCACAAGGCCAATTGTTGTGATCACTTGAGCGTTGTTAACACACAGTTAGGATAAAGTACAAGTACAATGAACATTTTTAATCAGCACCAGTTTTGTAAACCGGGAGGAACAATTCTCACCGATCCACCGAAGGTCAAAATAAGGGACAATTCCCAAAATACCAAAAGTACAATGTAAGTCTTTGGTTGGGCTACTACTAACATAATGTTCATCTAATGGACTCTGATCAGGATTTCCTGCTGTGAAATGTTTTCCCTGCTTAACAACATTACTCTAACGTGGTAATGCTGCTGCTGATAAGACACCACTCTTTAAAGAAAGCTTTGCTCAAAGCCACCTGTTTCTTTGTCTACCCTTTAACCTTTTAATACACTGTCCTTATGCTAGGACACATTGTTTGGGCTTAGGCATCTTGAACACTCGACAACGTTTGCAAGACATTCAAATGTACAATAAAAGGGATTGTAAATATAAAAACAACTGTTTAACTGAAGAGTTTAAATTTATCCTGTATTATGTATTGTTCTTTTTGTATTTCTAAATGTTTTTAATGTATTTCTTTTTTGTGTATTTGTGAAAATGTTGTTTTTGTATCCATTAATTGTATCTGTTATTATTGTTTATCTTTTAATATAGTAAGTTATTTAATTACATTTTTTCTGATGCTTGCATTTTATTTACTTATTGACCCTTTTTTTTTTTTACAGTAAAATGTATTTATGTATTTCATTGTTAGGAAGCAGCCACTTGGTGGAGGCTAATGGGGATCCAAATGATGACATTCAGTCATCACTATCTTTCTAAACATGATTCTGTCACAAAACGTTCCTCGCATATTTGTTTCAAAGATAAACTTCATTTATTAATTTAATACAGTCCACAACATTTTGGTTTCACAAATATGTGTAATGCGTCTGTCTTCTGGATCCTTCAGAAACTGCACATTGTCTGACCATCAGTCTGAATGTATTACTATTTTAAGTCTTCTGCGAATGCTCAAGATACTGCAACTGTTCAGATGGCTGGAGCTGACATTGACCTACCAGGGAAGCATTAACCTGGTCAAGAAAGGTCCTAATCTGGATGAGTGGAGGCAGGGTTAACTCTAATGACAGGCCAAAAGATTAACTGAATGCTCAAAATATTTATTTTTCCCCTTACCTAACGACCTCAGATCAGTTAAAACAGAAAATAAGCAGGCTTTAAAGTAAATAAGAAAATCAAGGAATTCATGCCTTGTTCTGGTTGATAATAATAGTCCCTATTTCTGACTCCTGCGGTATCCTGTCATTCTTTATAGAATTTCATCTTGGCACTGGATGAATGTTTAAAGTCCTTTCAAATTACACAAAGATCCTTTTCTTAACTAGCTCACACAAAATTATCATGAGCCAGTACGTCCACGACTGTACAAGATACAACAGTTTGAGCTTTTCTTCACATTTCCGGTCATGTTAGTCATATGACACATCTCTCAGTCTTTTACCCTCCCTTTTCATCATTCCCCTGTCTTCCCCTGCTGCTCACCATCCCCCTTTCCCCTGTAAGCTGACACAGCGCCTTGAAACATTAGCCGCTTTCCTCCTAATAGGATCTCTTGGGCTTACATTGTCATCTGATAAAATTAAAGAGCTTGCTAGCTATGCTGCACCCTCTTAACCAATTTGTACTCAATTAGGCTAATGGGGAAACAAGCAAAGAGGGACAGCTTTAATATATTAATGTGATAAAATCATTATCAATGTCCTTTGCACGCGACTAGCGGTATTAGGAGCATCAAGCAAGTCTTAACTGAAGTCTCTAGTTAATATTAGCCAATAATGCGGTCGGCCAAACAGAAAAGGACATCAACAAGTAACTATAGCTTTTTTTAAATTGCATCTTCGTGCAATTAAGTTGTACGTTAGGTTACTAACAAGTGACAGATTTCTCAAAATTCCCAGAAATACCTCTCCCTCGTTTTCTAAATCTCCCACAACGGATCTGCGAATATGTTTTTATCAGGCCCGACCTGCCCACATCTAAACTCACAGATCTCTCAAACTGAGCAAGTCTAGTTTAGAACGCAGGATTTCAGTTAAAAAAGGGATATACAATTTGCTTATGAAGTATGCCAACGTTTTACTTTATAGTTCAGGTCTCTGCATCTTTCAATGCATGAATGCATCTAACACTGGTTAGACAGTATACTGTACTAACTGTAATAAAAAAGATTACTATTTTATTTCAATGTTAACACAATTGAATTTTTTGCAGCTCTTAAAACCAAAAAGCCAAAAGAGACAACAGATAAGTAGTTTGTACTAATTATTAGCTACCGATAACACTTCAAATTCAATGTCGGTCAACAAAATTAGTGTTATACAAGAAAGAAATGTATTTGCTGCATACCGTTCTTTATTGAATTAACTGAATCACTCACACTCAAATCTTCTCCTTTGGCCAATCAATCAATAAATCGCATTTACTGTTTTAAGGTATCAGCTCACAAAGGCAATTAATGCTGCTTTCAATGTTTGCCTAGCTAGAAAAACATTTAGAGAATGCAAAATATTTATAAATAGTGAAAACTGGATAAGTAAAGATTCATTTATGAATCAACTTTATAAACACTATTTTACATAAAATTACTTTTTAGCCAATCCCTGCCAGAAGGACGATTTCTTTATTTCATTTATTGAGTGGTAAAACCTGGCCTTCACCGGCAACATTAATGGGCTTTGCAGCCTCTCCTTTCTGGCAAAACAAACTTGACAACCAAGAAAAGATGTTTAGCCAAAGCCACTTAACTTACAGCCATTCTGATCACAGGAACCATTGGCAATGCAGCCGATGTTGCCAGATGGCTTTAAACTTGTTAGCATTGTAATGTCCTCAGCTGTTAAGGCATGTACCAATCATTAACACAAGAGCTGCATTTCTGTGCATCTCTGTGACTCCAAGGCTTGGGTCTATAGAAAGTGTCAAAAGGTAATGCAAAACCTCTCATTCATCTTTAGAATTTCACTGACTGCTGGTACCATAACAAAGTTATGCGAATATGAACATGTTGTATTTCTATTGTCTTACGTGCAAAGAACTCCTAAATATATCTTCTGATAGGAAGAGTGAGGTCAGAGGAAATCTCTAGTGAAGTCTTAAGACTCATTAAGGATAGGATTGATCTCTGCAACACCTACTGAGGCTGCCACAGCTTTGGTTGTGCCAGATGGCAGAGGAGAAACTTACAAGCTGCAGGATAAAATGCCCCCGATGCCCCAACCCAATTCTACTTTGAACGATCAGAGGCTGAGGAAAAATACTATTTGGCAAAACAGGCCAAGTATTTTTTTGACAAACAAAAACAATTGGGTTGGATGTCACAAATAAAAATGTTAAAAGGATTATAAAGACTGGGTTCAAACCGTGTTTAAATTAATTAGTATAAATTGGTTTAGAGGACTGTATTTTGTTACTTGTAAGTTCCCCTAACACAGACAACACATTTGTATCATCAGACTATAATTATTATAATATAGTTCAATGTATTAGTTGTGTATTAACACACAATTCACTTTTTTGCTTTATTTTATTTTATAAATAATGCCAGCTATTCCAAAAGCAAAGAGTTAAGTGCCTACTTGAATGAAAGTATTTTATTAATACAAGTCTTTACAGTTTGTAGCCATTCAAGTTAAAAGTCCATCTCTGTGTCTTTTCTCCCTTACATTGTCTATAATGAAGGGATTAGGGAAAACTCTCAGTACGACCCATTATCTTTCAGACAATAGATTTTTTGAAAGAAAGTTTTGTCGAGGCTTCATTAGCAATGGCCTCCCTCTGTGGTCTGAAAGCAGGACACATTTGGAGCAATTACTTGACCAGAAAACAACTGTCAGTCATTCTTAAAGGGGAAGGATTCCAATTAATAAACCTCTTAAACCCTTTGGTTTTACTACCATTCCCCCGCAGGCTTTGGTGTCTTGTGTGGTTAAGGGGAGTTTTGTCAGGAGAGAAAGACATTACATGTGCTTGTTGCACAGGGCTCCAACGGTAGGTCCTTTGCTCACTTGTGTGCAGGGGATTTCAAGGACTTAACTGCCAAGCGCCTACAGTAGATATTGTTAGTGTCGTTTGTCTACTCATGGACTACAGAGACACCATGTCTGTAGCATAGTCGATGGTAGGATTCTGAAAGAAGGTAAGATAACTTTTATACTTCAGTACTTTGCATTTTGTCAATAATGCACATTCATAATGAAGAGGTGTAAATATTGTCGAAGAGCAGGTTGCTTTTTTGTGCATCAAGAAAAGTTTATTGGTATTTAAACTTAATAGGGTCATTTCTAACTGCATACATTTTTACAAAACTTTTCAAATGCTGAGGTTTTAAAATGTAAAAGTTATGCAGTTGTGATTTGAACTTGATAGAGTTCGAAAACTTCCTCTAGACACAATTCACTTAACACTTTCCTTAGACTCACTTATTATGTATTTATTATGAATTATTGTTAAATCTATTTTGGTTCCTTCCTATATTTTTTCCAATGTTTTTGCAACAAAACATTGCCTGCATGTAGTGAATATGTACGATCCTTATTATGTATTTTATACTAAGAGTATAACTTGGAAAAGCTTTTGAAGTGTTTTAGTTACATCTTGTTTCATTCTCTCATTCCTTTACAGACAAAGATGTGAGTTTGTTATGCTTTCGTGTAAACAATACAATCAGCCTAACCGAAGGATACGGCCCTCTCGCTTCGCACAAGTCTGCTCCATCACAGAACAACAACTCTGTACAACTGCTCTGCTTTTTCTAACTTGGAAAGCAACATAGTGTCTCAAAAGGCTCGGATGCATTTGTCAATGGATACGCTCGGAATTGTGGACGATAGTTGCCTGGACAACTATGACATGGCCAAAGGTGCTGGATCAAGCAATGGTGGCAGGGTCCACAGTATTGATGTCATACTGGGATTCACTAAAGACCAGGACCCTTTACTCCATTCTGTAGGTGATGATGACGGCCAAAAAGCCAATGGGGAAAACCCACAGCATCCTCAGAAGCAGATCCCGTCGGACCCCTATAGGCACCTTTCAGAATTGGGTGACAGCTCCCAAAACTCTTCCTACCATGGTGAGTCTTTTGAGGAAAGAAGCGATTAGGCACGAACGCTCTCAAATACTTCTTTAGATCACTTCGGGGATTTTCTGCTCAACTGTATACAAATTGGAAATAGGGCTGTATTATCAAAAAGCGTGTTGTTTGTGTCTCGCATGTCAAGTTTCAAACGCAATACCCCCACCCACATGGTACATTCCCCCACTGCAGGCGTTTGTTAAGTTTGGACATCTGGATGGGCCTTGTTGGAAATACAACCAAAATACAGTTTGAGGTGAAGAAGCCAGTGATATAAGCCTGATGCCAGACATCACTACCTATTGCTAATCAGCTAAACTGGAACGTAATCAATTATGTTTTTTTGTACATACATACGTTTTTTGTTAACTTTTGATTAAACAACACCTGTATCTTAAAGCAAATTAAACCATGTGATCGATATGATCCATTCAAATGCTTTGAACCTATTCACCGGCTGTAAGCTTAAAGCTATCAAATACAATATTTCTATATCACATGTAATAATTTACTGACATGATGAAGCAGATATATACTTTAAAAATCAATTAAAAGACCACTTAGCAAACCCTGGAAAAAGTAAAAAAAACAACAACAACACCTGACAGGTTCTGTGTATAATTATGGACACTTCCAATAGCAACACATATTTTCTCTCAGTTGCCATGAGTAAATATGGCCATCTGTTACTTGGTTAACATTAAAAAGTTAATGTGCACCCTGTGTACATCTGAAAACAGCAGATTTGTAATAACCTAAAAGCAGTAATTCACTGTCTGAGATAAGCTTCTTATGCAACGTTTATTTCTCAAAAGCCAACATTTTGAATGGAAAAATGACATGAAAAAATACTATAGCTGCAACCGATGTGAACAGTACAGTAGCCACAACAGGCAAAATCCAGTGGGTGAGCTACACCAGATTAATTCTGACCAGGAGCACAAAGGAATGGATAGAAGAGTACATTACAAGAAGTGATTTCTGTGTCTTTGGTTGTTTTGTTTTGTTGGTTCACTTCTGATAAGCTATATAGGCCTCATAGTCCCAGTGGTAAATTTGCCTTGGACATCACTCGCTGAAAAATCAGTAAATAAATGTATTCATTAAATTAACATGCCCGTCTCTATTAGACAAGAGAGGCCAATACCTAATATCTACATGTTTCCTCTTAGATGGTGTTTAAGGCTCTAAAGGATATAGGGACAAGGGTGGTGCCTGCTTAGGGGAACCCTGTATTATCTGCCTTATGGTAGGTAGTGATATTTAGGGTGTAGGACATGACATGATTCTGGTTATGGATTGATGAAAGATAACCTGAAGACTGGAATGTTGATACACAAATGATCTACAAAGATGTCTGTATAATCAGGAGCCTCCATTCTCTGTTGTGACACATTTTGTATACTTATTTATCTGCAAGATTAGCATCTCCCATTATGGCATTAACTTATTGTGGCTATTAAAGGCAAACATCCCAGTCATACCCATGTCATGTTGCACCATTTAATACAATGCTTTTAAGAAAGCTCTTTTTGACCAGACTACATTTTTTCTAACAAACAATCTGTTGACAATATTCTCTTATAATTTGGTATGATTAACCGGGTGCATCACACACACAGTTTACTTGCTTCAAATAAAAAAATTTAAAAGACGGAATCTGGAGTTTGACGGTTTAAATCCCTTGTTAGATTAGAGGAGGCGGGGACTTGCAGGTTTAACTGGTAGCATCTGTTACTATGGGATTACTGAGAGGGAAGAATTCAGTGAAAGATGTGATATTATTTCGACTTGCCAAACCCCTGGTGTCCATTAAGCTGTTTTATCATGAGAAGAGTTAACATTTCACTTTTTAAACAGGCTGTATGTTACAATGTGATATTCGAATGTTGATAATGAGTTTTTTTTATTCCTGGGACATATTTTTGTCTTCAAACAAGAAAAGACAAGTATTACGAATTCATTATTGATTTGAAATCAAATAAACGAAGGAGTAGTCTCCGGGATGGATGAAATGGGAGACAACTTTTTTGGAAATGGCGTGCAAAATGATCCATGCTCATTCAGATATTGCATGCTAACTATGTTTCTGCCTTTGGATGTTTCTAAAAAAATACTTTTTTAAATTTGTAATCTGAGTTTTGAGGTGTAAACTGTTAAAGATTTACCGATATGTTATTACTACTGACTTGGTAGTTATAGGTAGGATAGTGCACACAACAAATTGTCCCTAAAATGAAGAACTGGCTACAAATCTTACGATTCATATTTTGTCCTTAATTTTAGAATCAGAACTTTTCTCCGCTGACAAATGTGATGAAGAAATGAGCAGTCTGCAGAAGGAAGTGGATGTTGCTGAAGGGTCTCCAGAGGCCTTTACAGAGGAAGAGCGCACTAAAAAGAAACACAGAAGAAACCGTACTACCTTCACCACCTATCAGCTTCATGAGCTGGAGCGAGCATTCGAGAAGTCCCACTACCCAGACGTCTATAGTCGGGAGGAGTTGGCAATGAAGGTTAACTTGCCAGAGGTTCGAGTTCAGGTAACTAAGTGATATCCAAATAGTTTCCTGTGGTCTTGGTACATGGCCTGTGCTTTGCTGAGCAGATAATTTATAATGTAATTCTTGTATAATTTGTTTGGATATTTCCTTTTAGACCAAGAAAAGAGTAGAAAAACCGTTGTCCATTAGGAATGATGGAGATTTATTTAGAACACATCTAATTGAGCCATTACCATATCCTCAAATTAGATTTTGCTAAGGTTATCTAAATATGATCAAATCTACTGTTTGTTGCTAAAGTTCATTTAAAAGTTTCTGCAATCCTATACCACCTTTAGGAGGTACATAGCCCAGTATGTGAAATATTTAGTATTTTTCTGAAGTTTAATGCTATTGAAGCATGTTCTCATAGAATCTATTCAATTTCCATGGTCCAGGTGTGGTTCCAAAACCGGAGAGCCAAGTGGAGACGACAAGAAAAGATGGATACTAGCACCATGAAGCTTCACGACTCACCCATGCTATCCTTCAATCGTCCTCCGATGCCTCCCAGTGTGGGGCCAATGTCCAACCCGATGCCCCTAGATCCCTGGCTGACCTCACCCATGTCCAGTGCCACACCCATGCATACCATCCCAGGGTTCATGGGTTCACCGCAGGGCCTGCAGCAGGCCTATTCAAGTCACAGCTTCCTCAACACCCCACCTGGTATGGTCCAAGGTATGCAGCCAATGGGCCCTCCCCCCTACCAGTGCCCGCCCAGCTTCAACGATAAATACCCGATGGAGGACGAAAGGAGTTCCAGCATCGCAGCACTCAGGATGAAGGCCAAAGAGCACCTTCAGTCAATGGATAAAACCTGGCAGCACATGTGATCATGAGGCACTTTGGAAGGATTTTTTAGCTGTTTCCCGTGAATGTTTACAAAATTATTTTTCACTGATTATTTCCTGTATCTATGACGACGATACATGGCACCAAAGGAGTCAGACATAATTTCACTGATGCTAATAAGCAACTCTAAAAAAAAGAAATCATGATTGATTCTCTGGGGGCCCTTTTTTGATTTAGTTCGAAGGTTTTGGGAAATGACTCTTATTTAGAGAAAATCCTCAATATGAATGTTTTTACACTTTGGTTTGAACATTTTCCTGCTCTCCTGAGAGAATATCTTTGTGGAGCTAACTGAGCTCTGTGCTTTGGGCATTTTCTGGTATCTAGATCCTAGACCTAGACAATTGTAGTATACAGGTGGATGGTTCGAAGAGGGGTTTCTCTGTGTATGTCTTTCGGTTGGGTTTTCTCCATGATATTCAAACTATTTAAAAAAAAAAACGACTATATTTTCAGCTCATTTGAAAGTTGGCAGACAATTTTATTCAAAGCAATTCTCCCACTTAATTCTATTAAGCGATATGCGTGTGTTTGATTTAAATAATTAAACTGGCCTTTTGAAGAGCATTGAGCCCTGATGGGGTAGGTTATCGGAAGTCACTGAGCGTAATCTGGCTCAGAAGCTAATTTAGACAGACAAGCATACCTCTTAACACCTAATTACTGCTTTTAAAGCGATTAACCCCGGATTCTCAGCCATAGACAAAATGCCCTCAGTTGCCCCTGAAAAAACGTTTTCAAGACCTGATTATCTTTGCCCCTCCCCTCAAACTTGACAATTTATATATTTTTTATTTACCGATACGGCACAACATATTGATGTTGTTTTTTGTTATGCCCTGTCTTAATCTTCCTCTTATTTGTAAAGGATGTTTTTCATTGCATTGTTGACAAAATATTCCCTAAAGACAGGTGGATTATGAGTGAGAGAGTTAATAGGTGCTGGCAGCCTCTCTTCCCATTGGATGTAGCACTGTCTTATGTAACTGTTGGACCACAACAAGAAGGAAATTACGTTACATTAACCTTTATCAGAGACGTAAGGCAAAGATAATATTGCTTGTGTGTTTTACACAGTACAGTATGTTGGCATTTGGTGTGTGTGCATTACAATAAAGCAAAAAGGTGCTTTACTAGTAAATCATTTTCTCTCTGGCTTTGGAAAGGCAATAAAAACATGCAATTAAATGGAATCAATGGAAGAACGACTTGTAATGCATTTTACCAATGCTCTCCACTATTTGGAAAAATAAGGTGGTATCAAGTTTTATCTAGTGCTGGCAATGAAAATATATGTACACCCCAATGAAGTGTAAGGAAAATACCTCCTTTAAATCACTCTAAAACATTATGTGTCTATCATGGCCTTTAGAAATGGCAGCACCCACACTGTCAGTTTTATAGGTTTTTGTTTTTTATATTGTTACAATCCCTGTTGACAACAGTGGACTAAAAGGCCAAAGACGACATTTCTTATTACTAGAAAACACATTAATAAATGTGTGAGGATGTTTATTATGTTTAAAAAAGAAATGTCACCAGTTAAGTATTTCCTAGTACTTTTGAGTTTAAAGAATGTGTTTTAAATTTAACATGTGCAAAATACAGAATAAAGTTACTGTAGCACCACTGTAGAATAACGTTGATGGTGGATCTTGTATTTCTTTCTACGCATGCATTAATGAGCCACCAACATGACTTAGTGCTGTTAATGAGCGCTGGTGTACAAAAGGCCACGTAAGCTGTGACAGAACGAGCTGGCCTGATGGAGGCCTGTTGTGTTCGTCCAAGCCTGTGGAGCTTTGCCAGGCCGTTAGGCAGATGAAGCTCCACTTCATCAGGCCCAACCAGGGGTGTCAGGAGGCCCCGCCTGCTAGGCTGCAGAGGCCACAAGGGCTCAAGTTCTAATGGCCCTTCGGTAGCGTGTGTTCAGCTGCAGCTATTTTGGATGGCAGTTTGTAAAAAGGACTATTTTGCATCCCGGCACTTTTCAACAATGTAGCACCCAGTCAGCCTAAACGAAAAAGCCAAGTGGTGGGAGATTTTTTAAATCATAAAGATGCTTGTGTCAACTCACAAAATGGCTTAATGAAGTGTTCATGGGTCTGCATATTCAAAGGAACAATGGTGTGCAAGGATTTGTTTATTTGATTTGAAAATATACATTTCATGTTAAATATATATAAGGAATACTCTAGGCTTAGTTGAGACTCAGATACATAATAATAAAAACAATTAAACCTAGGTTTTACCAAATGATATAGGCCTCTTAGCATCTCTGCATTATAACAATAATGGAGCCACGATAGCTAGGTAGGGAATTTGCATAATACATTAGTGGTAAGTATGAAGATGAAAAAAGTGAATACACTATATTACGTGACAATCCTTTCTCACCACACCTTTGTCAGAAAGACTTAATGTTGCAACACCCAGAATTTGCTAGAGACACTTTCAGAACTAGTGTTTAATTACGCACATTATTATGTTATTTTGCTTGGCCAAGCGTGACCTTTGCTGGGGCCCGGGCTCTAGTTAACAGGCTGACTAGCGGGACAGGATCCACGGTGGAAATAATAAGGGTAAGGAGCGGAATTAATTGGGTTTGATTAAGAACACTTTTCAAAGGACACCATTTTCCCCCATTGACATAATTGGGGATCATTTAGAGGGTGGGGGGATTTTGTTGGCTGGCGCCAGTTACTCGTCTTCGCCCCAGTGTTCCCTCTAGAAAAAAGGACATGTCACTCAAAAAAAGAACCTCCTTCCTCGTCTGTCTTGTGCATAACATGCATCGGCACACATGTTAACCTTTTCGTTTGGCCAATCATTGCATTGACTACTATTCAGTCTCTTTACTTTGTGTGTTCAGCATGTTCCGAAACATATTTACATTATTGAGAATCAGACAAAAGATCTGCAAACTGTATTAAAAGCTACCAGGATGTCTGGGGTGATTTAACAATGGCTGACAAAGATCTCTGTTGGATCCAAAGTTTCACATTTAAAACATTGGGAGATTTTTATAGTGTGTGAATTTTTTTCTCTGATTCTTGCTTAGTTTGATCTTTTGATCTGGCAACTGTAGTGTTTGAAAGGGGGTACCCAACCCAACCCTTTATTTTCTGTTCTACATGCTTACCCACATAGCCTGAATGCACGGCTTGATTTGATTCTTAGCAACATCAAGCAAGCAATGCATTGCTTTAGAAAATTACCTCCTATTGTCTAGTGGTTAGGGTTAAAACAGAACTGTAACATGATGAATTAGAATTTGTTGCTGTAAAGTTCTGCAATGACTAGTTATTTTCTCTTCACCTTTCACCAATGGGAGATACCTGCATTCCAGTGCCGATCTGATTGTAGAGTTTATGGTGGTTGGCTTCCTTTCTTACTGTAGGTGTTTGGGCTTTATGGATTCATCTCTTGTCTTAACCTGTAAACAAAATAAGCGTCAGTATCACCATCTCTTTTATTTAATAAAAAAAAGGCAGCAAGATCAAATAGGTACCCATTTTTTTCTTTGTATCACCGAGCGGGATTGACATGATGGAATGGCATCAGAAACATGTCCAACTTGCCAGCTCTGTCCTCAGTAGATGTGTCCATATAGTTTGAAGCTACCAAGCTGTTGTATGTTGTGCATACATAACAGGCATGGAGGTGAATTGATTGCGCTCGCTTAGTGTGGAAATTAATCAGTCTGACAATGCTGTTGACCATTGTTGTTGTTTTTTCAGTTTTAGTTGAGACTTCTAGAGAGATGTACACATTAGGTTTTTTAATGTGCTTTTCAGGGACCATTTTTGGATCAATAGTGAATACTGGAATCATCTACCTGCACTGCAGAGTTGTGGGGTATCACTTTTCCATTATCCCTCTCAGAACTCAGCTCTAACAACCCCCCTCTCCTGGAGAACTCAAAATGTTTTGGCTCTATGAAACCTGATGTGCTTATATGATTCTGTCTTCTTCAAGTTTGTATCTTCTTGGTCAAATGCACTTATTGTAAGTCGCTTTGGAGAAAAGCGTCAGCTAAATACAATGTAATGTACCAATAGAGATGTAATTTATGCGTGATAAAAAAAACAAAAAAGTATCAGTTTTTGATAGTAATGCAATGACTTACCAACAATTGATACTTTTCCAAGTGAAGCAACAGTGTGGTTGTGAACAGTGTGTAATAAACATTTAATTGATCTGCAACATGTGAAAAGTCGTTCATACTTCCTGACCAATACACAGATGTCCTGTTGAAGTGAGTGAGACAACTAGAAAAATAAAACTGGTAAGAATACATTTTGAAATATTTGACCTTAAAAATACATTTATTTCCCCTTTAAGCAATGTCACACATTAACAAATATATGCAGCTATCTTATTATTTGATATCGCATAGCAGGGCGACTCCACGCATGATCCAGTGGTCTGGTGGCTGGACGGTATGCAACACCACTGCTGTGATGTAATTCAGATCTGTGCGCCTTGGTTTCTTGTATATGGGGCAGATATACAGTTTGGGGTCCATGGGGGCAGTAGAGTTAATGGCAAACATGTGGATGACAGGCAGGGGTGTGAACAGCACTTTGGGTGAGGACTCGATGAGGTGGACGTTCTTCCTGTCCCAGCTGGCACCTTCCAGGTACAGACCATAGACATAGACTCCCTCCTGGTGATGAGAAGCAGTCAGGGACAGAATTATCATCTCACATTTAAAGTGAGCAGACAATATGATCATACTTATTTTAATGTCTGACCAAGTTTATAATGAATTTAAGTGTAAGCTTAATTGAGAAATATATATTATCATCTCCATGCTTTTCCACTCACTGTAGGCGAGGCAGTGATCTCCTCCTGGGCCTGTTTCAGAACTTTGTTGTGCAGGTTTACCGTGTCCAGAGCCCAGCCTTTGTTTGCCCTCGTTACTTCTTGTCTCATAGCGGTTAGGAACCCTATAAACATCCCACAGAAAAGACATTATCTCATATGAATTCAACACCAGCTGAAAATAGCACATTCACAGGGTATATGCAGGAATCCTGAAGTCAGATGCTCCCCCGGGAACTTTTTTTTTTTTTTTAAAGGTGACCTCCTATCATGCAAAATGCACTTTTGTACGTCTTTTATACATGAATATGTGTCCCCGGTGTGTCAGGGAACTCACCAAGTGTCAGAAAACACAACCCTCTCTATTTTCCTCCATACCCAAATCTCTTAAAAAGGGGCTGCAACGGATCTGATACAGACTGATCCAGATTTGAACACTTCTATGACGTCACAGAAGTGGCGCTACGGCTATTGGGCCAACTCCACCAATCAGGAGGAGACAGCCACGGACATTGCCGTTCGAAAGCGCTGGAGACGCTGTAGTACATATGCCAGGCCTGTAGATGGTGCTGTTCTCACAGAATCAGACCATGAAAAGACAGTGTTAAATTGAGCGAAATGAGGAATGGCTAAAATGCATGATCTGTTTGGTATTTTGAAAAATAAAAAGTATAAATATGCCTTATATAGGTATGGTCCTACACTATATTATTCAAATATAGCATGATAGGTCCACTTTAAGTTAAGAGCATCAATCTGGTGCACTTTGAGAGCAAAATTAGGAGATCTATGGATACATCTCTCAAAACCCATATGAAACAGAACTCTAAAGCAGATTTTANTATAGCCTCAATGTCCTGAAATAGCTGAATAAGTTCATAGTTGGATAGTTTGTGCAGCTGAAAGTAGGCTGATGTACTACGTACATCTGATATGTAACTCCATCAGCCTACTTTCAGCTGCACAAACTATCCAACTATGAACTTATTCAGCTATTTCAGGACATTGAGGCTATACATGTTGTTGTTTATACCTTTTTTTAAACCTTTTCAAGTTTTCAACAAAGTCATTGCGATGCATTTGAGCTGTAACAATTTGATTCAAATCATTTCTCTTTTCTGCATTTCTCCGCTAAGTTCAGCAATACACTTTCTTGGTTTTTGTAGCTAAAAGCAGCTACCATTCAACTCATAACATACAGTATTCAGCTTTTTCTGCATTTTCAGCTAAATTCAGCCACAAATGTTCACAGTTTACAGCATTCACACGCATTTTCTGCAGGAAATACATTTTCTAGTTGCTCTCTAGAGTCTCTGAAACACACATGAGTGGGAGCCCACTTTAAGTAGACAGACTG